GGGGTTTTTTTTGGAGTTGGTTTCATAAAAGAAATCGCTTGTCTGTGACTTTTTACTGCCCTCCTAGCGTCCTGTAATCATTCGTCGCTCTGTGTACAGACTTGCTAGGGAATTCCTACCGGGGATGTAGACCTTCTGTTTCCCCTCCCCCACATAGACATCCCCTGCCCCGCTCTGTCTAACCACCAGCTGTAACAGGTGGATACAGACATGAGCAGGGAAGCACTGGGTGTTAGCACCTATGCATTGAACAAGCTTGCAAGAGCGTACTCTCCTTTTGCCCAGTTTTGTTGTTTTCGATGCAGCCTGGTTTGAGATTGTTAGTCCTTATTTCACTACAGTGCTGGTATAGTTCATGTTTACCTCGTGCTCAACCATTCCTGAATAGGAACTTCACCTAAGACATTTGTTTAGCTAATTGGAATTGAAAGCCATTCTATTTATATATTTTTTCTCAATAAAAAGGATCAAAGCAAAGAGCCTCCCTATGGCGCTGATGTCCTTCGCTGGTGGGTAGCTGAGTCCAATGTCTTCGCTGAAGTGACAGTTGGTCCATCTGTGCTCAGTGCTGCCAGAGATGATATTAGCAAGGTTAGGCTTATTACTCTTCCTATTTCTGAGCAAAAAGTTCATTAAATCATTGTTTTAAAAACTTAGTGAAAATGAATTATCCATGTGTTGTGAGCATTTTAAAATATCCTGTGTTAATTTATTTGTATAAAAACATTAGTAGTAATTCTAATGACATTACATAACGTCTTCATATTTTATTAATATAATGTATAAAGTATAATGTAGCATAGTATGATTTATTTTAATTTTATATACTTTTTATGTACTCAATGGCCTTTCACATTTATTCCTTTTATCTTTATTTTCACCTGTGAAGCTGGTGAAATGACATTATTCTCACCCACTCACATGAAAAACTAGGCTACTGAAAGATGATTTGCCTTAAGGTTATAAAGAAATAGAATGAAAATTTAGTCTTTAAGCATAAAATCCAGTGGTTGTGTCTATAACTGGGCTCTTGTGTTTATTTTTTTTGCATTTGTAATTTATTTAGGAATGATATAATAAACAAGGATCTCTTAAGAAAGTGACAAGAGTTAGGTGAAACTTAATTACAGAGTAAGAAAGTAACTTCAGTGAAAATTCAAGGCCTCGTAAATTTTTTTAACTACATATTTTTTCTCACTATGAATAGCTTAGGAATACACTCCGATTTCTTCTGGGAAATGTGGCTGGTTTCAACCCAGAAACAGATGCCATCCCTGTTAACAACATGTATATAATAGACCAGTATATGCTACACTTACTGCAGGACTTAGCAAACAAGGTGAGTATGAATTAATAAGCTTCTGGAAAATAGAAATACCAGCACTATTTTATGTTAAAATTTTAGTTTCATCTGAGTGGAACAAACCTTGCTAGAAATAGTAAATATCGCACTCTTGAGAAAAGTTATACTTGCTAAATTCCACATATTCTTAGATTCTTAAAAGGTATAAAGTGTTATATCTTTCCTAGGTTCTCAAGACTACAAAAGTACCTGGTTGAGACAGTAGGCCCAGGCTTCCCCTCAAACTAGATTTTTCTCTCAAGATCAGCTTTGTTTCTCCAATGAGGAATAAAATAGAATTATTCTCTACTTATCTGCAGATGTGCCCCTCATAATACAATATAGAAATAAATGAAATGACTGTTCCTGTGTGTCTTATAAGATATTTGCTCATTTATATAGACACAAGTAATCTGTGTTTACTTAGAATTTGAAATGTGTCTGCTTCAGTGTACTCTTAAATCAGAACTGTACATTCTGATTTTTGCCCAGATCAAAAATAAATGAGGTATAAATGAGGGAACAGTAGTGAAGTGTTGGTAACCCCCGCTCTTTGCTGTCTCAAAGATGGTGCGATTTCATAATTTGAAACCTGATCCTTTCCTCGATGAGTGTTACGTGGTAATTCCCAGAGAGGAATAGTATTTTCTGAGTGTATTTGAATTTGTTACCCAGAGATGTTTGGAAGATTCTCAGGTGTTCTTGCCTGTTGCCTGTTTTGTATTTGTCTGCCTTTGAAACATATTTTGAAAGGAACATGTTTTGCTTGTGACGACTTGTATTTCACTTGCTTATCCCAGCTTCCAGATTGATTTTGTCTTTGTTCCCTAGATTACCGAATCATATAAACAATATGATTTTGGAAAAGTTGTTCGGCTCTTACGAACGTTTTACACCAGAGAACTTTCTAACTTTTATTTCAGCATAATCAAAGATAGGTATGTATGATGAAATATTAAATTAAATAAATACTTCCTGAGTATCTACTCTGTGCTTGGCAGATGTTGGGGATATAGTGATGAGCAAGATGGGCAGCGTTGTGCAGTTATTAAGGTTGGGTTCTGGAGCTAAACCTGAGTATGAATTTTTGCCCCACTACTTATAGCTTTATGATTTGGGGCAACTTATCCTGTAATCTCAGTTTCTTCATCTGCAAAATGGGGGTGATAATACCTACCTCATAATGTGGTTTTGCGAATAAAAAGAGTTAATGTAAGTATGTGCTCAATGCTGTATTTGATAAAGTAAGTGTTCAGTAAATAATAGCTGCTAATATGAGATGACAGTGTTCTCAGGAGTTTGAAAATCTGGAGCAGGGAGAGAGAAATATACAGGCAATTGTATAATGTTAGTAGTATCCTCTTAGAAGACGGCTTGATGCTAAATCTTCATTTATTGCTCCACAGTGCAGGTGACAGTGCTGTCCTTATAATTAGTCCAATGTGAGGTGTTGCCCTCAACCTATCACACCTCAAGGATTTTCTACATAGGGATTATAACTCATTCCTTCCCTTAAAACACTAATAGCATTGTAGTGGGTGGGGTGTCACACTTTCAGTACCATCAATGAACTTATTAATTGTGCTTTAACATAATAGTCTAGAATTTAGC